AGATGCTCTACTAAGTGACATTCTACGCTGGTCTCCGTGTTTAAACTGCTGCCAGTGCAAGGACCCTTGTTAGTTCACTGCAAACACTTGGGAGACATGAGCAGCACAGAAAATGAGGGAAGACTGCAATTGTACCTAATACTTAACAAGAACATTTACAACCCCTCAGTACCACAGCATCAGATCATCAGATCTCTACACTGTATAAGTATTAATCCATAACAGATCTGAATGATGTCACAATCATTTTGATTCCACATATTTCCGTTCGGTTGTTATGAAGACAACAGATTTTGACATTTTTTCAATTACTGGTATACTTTTTTTGTGATATACAAGGAGTGAGTGAGTGAGTGAGTGAGTGAGTGAGAGTGAGAGTGAGTGAGTGAGTGAGTGAGTGAGTGGGGTTTTGAGTTATGCTGTCGATAGCAATATTCCAGCAATATCATGGCAGGGACACGAGAAATGGACTTCACACATTGTACCATGTTGGGAATCGAACCCAGGTATTTGGTGTGACGAGGGGACACTTCAACCACTAGGCTACGCCACCACCCCTCAACAAGGGTATGGTATGCTGAAGTAGACACAGACATTGTCACATCCAGTTACTTCAATTGATATTTAGCCGACAACTACATTGCCATTTCTCTATTATAATATTGATATCTATCAGCAGGTCGGCACATTACATATAGAGGAGATATTTGGGGACTTGTTCCCTCATATTAATGGAAACCATCACAACAATATGTAAAAAATATAATCTGATCTCTGAGCTGAAGTTTTTGACCATTATTCAATCAGTCAGCGTACAGAGTCTCCTTCAAAAGCTACAGTAAAGCTTTTGTGAAAGAATTGATCCCAGCTCCTTTACACAAAGTCGCAGTAATGGATTGTTCCTAATCCATAGCTGCTGATTTCATTCAAGTTTAACCTGGCAACAAATTGATCTCTTACTTTGATTTATTCTGATTTAGAACTAAGCTGAACTAACTATGATCCAAATGTGGGCTACACGACCATATAAATAATCTACTTTCATGATGGAGCCGAGTCTTGGGGACTGAACTGCATCTTACTGGCTGAATCACTGAGATGGGTGATCAACTGAACCATATATTTAGGTGATCAACTGAACCACATTTAGGTGATCAACTTAACCACATTTAGGTGATCAACAGAAACACATTTAGGTGATCAACTGAACCAAACATTAAGGTGATCAACTGAACACATTTAGGTGATCAACTGAACCAAACATTAAGGTGATCAACTGAACCAAACATTTAGGTGATCAACTGAACCACATTAAGGTGATCATTTAAGGTGATCAACTGAACTGGTGATCAACTGAACCACATTTAGGTTCAACTGAGGTGATCAACTGAACTGAACATTTAGGTGATATGATCAACTGAACCACACATTTAGGTGATCAACTGAACAACTTATTTAGGTGATCAACTGAACCACACATTTAGGTGATCAACTGAACCACACATTTAGGTGATCAACTGAACCATATATTTAGGTGATCAACTGAACCACATATTTAGGTGATCAACTGAACCACATATTTAGGTGATCAACTGAACCATATATTTAGGTGATCAACTGAACCATATATTTAGGTGATCAACTGAACCATATATTTAGGTGGTGATCAACTGAACCACATATTTAGGTGATCAACTGAACCACATATTTAGGTGATCAACTGAACCACATATTTAGGTGATCAACTGAACCATATATTTAGGTGATCAACTGAACCATATATTTAGGTGATCAACTGAACCACACATTTAGGTGATCAACTGAACCACATATTTAGGTGATCATAGGTGATCAACTGAACCACATATTTAGGTGATCATCGGTGATCAACTGAACCACATATTTAGGTGATCAACTGAACCACATATTTAGGTGATCAACTGAACCATATATTTAGGTGATCAACTGAACCATATATTTAGGTGATCAACTGAACCACATATTTAGGTGATCAACTGAACCACATTTAGGTGATCAACTGAACCATATATTTAGGTGATCAACTGAACCACATATTTAGGTGATCAACTGAACCATATATTTAGGTGATCAACTGAACCATTTTAGGTGATCAACTGAACCACATATTTAGGTGATCAACTGAACCACATTTATTTAGGTGATCAACTGAACCAAACACAACTGAACCCATATATTTAGGTGATCAACTGAACCACATATTTAGGTGATCAACTGAATCAACTGGGTGATCAACCATATTTAGGTGATCAACTGGTGATCAACTGAACCACATATTTAGGTGATCAACTGAACCATATATTTAGGTGATCAACTGAACCCCATATTTAGGTGATCAACTGAACCACATATTTAGGTGATCAACTGAACCCCATATTTAGGTGATCATCAGTTCAGCATTTGATAGTACAACTGTACCATATGTAGGTGACAAAATGTATTGTGTTTGGGTGATCAAATTAACCAAATTGATGGGCAATAAAATGAACTATTTAGATTGTGATCAAATGAACTGTTTAAATGGATGATCAAATGAGTGAGTGAGTGAGTATGGTTTTACGCCGCTTTTAGCAATATTCCAGCAATATCATGGCAGGGGACACCAGAAATGGGCTTCACACATTGCACCCATGTGGGGAATCGAACCCTGGTCTTCAGCGTGTCGTGTGGACGCTTTAACCATTAGGCTACCCCACCGCCCCTGGATGATCAAATGAACTGTTTAGATGAGTGATCATAGGAACCACACATTTGTGACTGAACATTGACTGGGCGGCTTATTTGACTCAAGCTGACACAACCAGACTGCCCTTTGGGTCCGTCTCAAACTACCCATAACCACTGTTTCCCCTTCCACCTAGCCCCCCCTGCAATGCTGAAGCAAGTCTAGATATCCTCAGGTTCTGAATCTCCCATCTCACAGGGACTCTTCTTCAATGTAAATGGAATTATTTGTTTCAATCAAAATTATATATTAAGGCACAAAGCATAAGAATACTGACAACCCTGTTGTACCCTATAACACATACAGAACATTTCAAAGAGCTTAGTGCAAAAATGTCAAGATGAAACCCAATCATGACCGTGAGACAGTGCTTCACTTATTCACACACCAACCACTTGACGGCAGCCACAGAGACAGTGCCAACAAACCTGCACTATCAATAACAAATTCTGACGTCTTTAAACAGAAAATACAATCGGTTTGTACAGCTGTCATGAATATATAATAACCGACAAAACTACTCTTCTGCACACTTGCTAATGGTTTCACCGTAGTGCTGTACGCCTGAGACCTGCATCACATAGGGTCTTCCTCCAACGTCTAGCTGACGTAATCCGAGCGGAATAATGTTTAAAACACCATGAAACTCACTTACTTGCTCCTTCGGCACAAATCTAACCACCACAACTCTCACCACTTTGCAAAATTGAACCCAATTTTAAACATACATTGTCCTCTATGCACAGAAACACTAAATCTGAAAGTATTTGTTCATAATAACTAAACAAGCAGTTTGCCCCCTCTATTCAGGTTGTTCTACATGACAACTGTTTCATCTACAAACACAACAAATCAACTCACACTTTTGCAAAATTGAACCCAATTTTAAACATACATTGGTCCTCTATGCACAGAAACACTAAATCTGAAAGTATTTGTTCATATTAACTAAACAAGCAGTTTGCCCCCTCTATTCAGGTTGTTCTACATGACAACTGTTTCATCTACAAACACAACAAATCAACTCACACTTTTGCAAAATTGAACCCAATTTTAAACATACATTGTCCTCTATGCACAGAAACACTAAATCTGAAAGTATTTGTTCATATTAACTAAACAAGCAGTTTGCCCCCTCTATTCAGGTTGTTCTACATGACAACTGTTTCATCTACAAACACAACAAATCAACTCACACTTTTGCAAAATTGAACCCAATTTTAAACATACATTGTCCTCTATGCACAGAAACACAAAATCTGAAAGTATATGTAAACAGTAACTACACAAGCAGTTTGCCCCCTCTATTAAGTTGTTCTACATGACAACTGTTTCATCTACAAACACAACAGATCAACTCACACTTTGCAAAATTGAACCCAATTTTAAACATACATGACAGAAACACTAAATCTGAAAGTATATGTTCATATTAACTACAACAAGCTTTGCCCCTCTATTCAGGTTGTTCTACATGACTACAAAACCAACAAATCAACTGAAAAAACTAAATCTGAAAGTATTTGTAAATACAAATCTATTCAGGCTGTTCTTTGAAGTTTCATCTAAACTAACACCACTTTGTAAAATTGAACACAACTACAGTACAATGGATCTCTATGATAGAAACACAAACCTGAAACTATATGAGCACTACACAGGCAGTTTGCCCCTCTATTCAGGCTGTTCTACATGACAACTGTTTCATCTACAACCATGAAAAATCTACAAACCACAACTAACACCACTTTGTAAAATTGAACACAACTACAGTACAATGGATCTCTATACACAGAAACACAAACCTGAAACTATATGTACACAATAACTACACAGGCAGTTGCCCCTCTATTCAGGCTGTTCTACATGACAACTGTTTCATCTACAACCATGAAAAATCTACAAACCACAACTAACACCACTTTGTAAAATTGAACACAACTACAGTACAATGGATCTCTATACACAGAAACACAAACCTGAAACTATATGTACACAATAACTACACAGGCAGTTGCCCCTCTATTCAGGCTGTTCTACACATGACAACTGTTTCATCTACAACCCTATCAAATCTAAGATGACATGCCGAAGTGAAATCAGACTCAACACAGAGGATCCATCTGCTACAATCAACATCTCCAACACACAACATATCTACATGATTGGTCTACATCTCCATTCAGTGACAAACACAAAACGTGCAAGTACGACTCTGGGTGCACACACCACCTACCGTAGTCCGGGCGGGGACGGAGCCCCGTCTCCGCTGGTTTTTCTGGGTCTTTATCAGCATTTGTTCCTGGTAAAAATCAACAGGTTTGTCAGTATCAGGAATATCATACAGGGTCCCGGGGGCTGCATACGATTTCCGTCGTAGACGGGGACGTTCAAATCCAAGGAAATTCATGCTGGTAAATGTGACAACACCGTTTCTCAAAAAGTCCACACGTTATTCCTCAACTGTAAACCATCATGGCTTAAGCACATCAAAGTAAGTCATAGCAAATCCAATGATACTGTTTGTGTTGGAGAGTTGTGATATTTCCACTGATTGTAAACGCTCCGAAGAGGTCTGAGCTGTGCCGTTCTGTCAGTAGATGAGAGTAACTGTCTGCAGAACACCTCGCTATTGATTCACTGTTCCAACAGTCTATCCATGGATTCCCACACACAGCCAACAAAGTCTACTTTCACAAGAAATCTGAATTTTTAATCTTGATCAATGTGGATCCATCCACCGGAGCCCAATCCTACTACCCCCCAAACTAGTAGTGGTATATCCATTACGTCATCTAGCAGTGATCGGTACCACACAATTTCCTATGATTGGAACACTCAATATCCATCTTCATAGATCCAAGTGATCAATACTAGTTAGCCGATATACCAACTGACTGCAAATAAATACCAGATCGGGATATTACGATCCTAGCTGTGAAGACTCCTCTCAGCTAATCGTTATGTGGACGGTCAACGCTGTTTGAAGGACATAAACACCACCCTACTGAATGCCCAACTGTCCAGTCAACTGTGACCACTTATCCTTCGACTGTCAGATGGTGGGAGTACTGAAATGTTTGTAAACTGATACTTCATTTGCTATGTACCAACACCAGTGCCCTAGTGCTTAGATTACACTACTTTACGTGGCACCAAGAATAATATAAACAAACACTGAGAACCTGCATGACCCGGAACAGGTGAGTGCCTAATTGACAGTACACACACTCTCTAAGCAGCTGGCACAAACGTCCCCAGAAGTAATGTCCTCAGGTGTGTCCTTAGAAGTAATGTCCATAGAAGTACTGTCCTCGAACTAATGTCCTCAGAACTAATCTCCTCTGAAGAAACCTGTTAACTGATTGTCTCTGCAGCTTGAATAATCGTAACTCACAGATATCTGAAACCAATCAGTTTTATGTGTTCCAGTACTGAAGACAGCTGTTTTGTAGTCAGCCGTATTTACACCGACAGTAAACACAGGCTCCGTAACACACCAACTGAATATCCACCAGGGGTAGCATCACCACTGACCAGACCCAGGTGATTACAGCCAGGTATCCCAGAGTTATTCCAGCTCGGCCCAGCCTCAACTCCCATTGTAACAGACACAGGTCTATAAACAAACGATCTAAACACTGATGACTTGCGGGATACGGCACTGGTTAGATACTGTTGTATACGCTGTATATCCACCAGTGTATACGCTGTATATCTGCCAGTTGATGCTGAACACTCAGACTGCCTGTACACAATCTTCTCATGCACTCAATAATTAGACATGCTGTGAGCTGGAGTTACTGCCGAGATGTTTGCTGTTCGAGTGTCTCAGTCCGTAGTGCAAGTCATACAAGCTGCAGGTCTTAGTACGGGGCATAACAGGGCCTAACAGGGCATAGAGTAACACCTACTCTGACCGACTTATGTCACACACCCCTACTTCACGTATCACTAGCCAGTATCCATATCAGCCAGCGTTGTACACCGTATTACACGCAGGTACACAACAGCACAGCTTTAACGTATGAGTGGCTCCACATCATAACTATATGCCAACTCAGCGAGGTGGAACTACCTACTACGGGGTTACCGTCACAGATCTATACCACAATATGATTCGGACATGAAAATACCTCCTGAGTTAATCCTGGCCATGGTGAATGTAGCTGTAGGTTTCTCCACTAATGTCATGTTTTCATACGAGTTCTATTGAGACTAAACAGGCCTGTTCTATGGGGTATTCAGTGTTTACAAACAAGCAGGCAAACAGACAGGCTTATTGGATGTTTCAGTGTAAACTTACTGTTAATTGCTTTCATCATGCAATGGAACAGGTAAGATAGAATGGGATTGGGATAGCACATGAGGAGTTTACACCAGATAGGTGTGATGTACTTCCTAGGGCTGTTTCATGCTGATTATGTCGACACAAGGGGATAATAATGCTATCAGTATCCTTCACACGTTTTCCCCGTTTTAGTCACACACGCTATAGATGTGTTCGAGGAAACAGGATCAGAACAATTGATATATCACTAAAATAACCTGTTATCTATGAATTGGACTTTACCTTTTAATAATTCACACTATGTATCTGTTCATTGTCAGTTTGAAAAGGGATTGTAATAATTCAATAAAATAACACTTCCACAATAGATACCAGAGCTCCAATACACGCTTGAGTCTGATCAACACCAGATTTTACACTGTCACAAAAATAGAAGCTTGGTCTCAAATACTGTGATAGAAGAAGACCACCTACACCTTTGGAGGACGTCTCTGTGATCAATGTTCATTTCTTGAGGATGAAGAACACTATTTCATGTCTGTAGTAAATATTCAGATGTAAGACAGTCCTTATTCAATTCCCTGTGCCCCAAATTAGTTACTTTCAAAGCTCTACCACCATGGCAAATTTAGCCTCCTTTTTACAAATAATTAACAGGATAGCATAGAAAATAATCTGCTATCATATATACAACTTAAACAATTCTCAAAGAGCTTTGGTTAATGCAAGATCACTTTAAATATCTATATAAGTATATCATTGTTACTCTCTCTCGCATCTCGTTTTTGTAGTTTATAGAAGATTGTCACTGTTTCTACATGGAACGTTCGGGCAATAGATATCGTGTATCTTGTTGGTGATTAGTGATCACAGGTTCCTGTAACTAGTTTATGTAGTTTATAGAATTTTGTCACTGTTTGTACATGGAACATTTCCACAAGAGTGAGTGAGTGAGTTTAGTTTTACGCCACACTCAGCAATATTCCAGCTATATGGTGGCGGTCTGTAAATAATCGAGTCTGGACCAGACAATCCAGTGATCAACAGCATGAACATCGATCTGCACAACTGGTCACCGATGACATGTGTCAACCAAGTCAGCAAGCCTGACCACCCGATCCCCTTAGTCGCCTCTTACGACAAGCATAGTCGCCTTTTGTGGCAAGCATGGGTTGCTGAAGACCTATTTTACCCCGGATCTTCACGGGTCCATTTCCACAAGAAATATCTTGTACCTTATTTGTGATTAGTAATGACAGGTTCCTGCAAGTGTACCCTTTACATGACTAGAATTAGGGATTTGGAAGGCCACAAGGTGCCACTGTGCGTTCCAACAGAATTGACGTTGAATCCCCAAAACATGCCCACCTCTTAACTTAAACACCAGGTCAAGAACTTGGTCCAAATGAACAGATGCCCAGGTATTTAACAGAGGCAATACAATATTTTGAAACATGATACCAGTTATCAAATACCACATATCAATTTCATATCACTGTGACGACAGAGTTTGTATCTATAAACCATAGATATACATGACATACCACGTGCAAATAGTATCTGTAGTATTCATATATCATAAAATATATAGACTACTTCATAGTCACTATAAAGGTATTATGATTATAAACAAATTATCTGCCATAGATCAGTTTCCAATAAAAGAAAATTGTACTGCGAAGAGTGACCAAACAAATTCTTTTTCTTATTACATTTTGAAACAAATCACTCAACATTATCAATACTGTAATCGTAGTGATTTTCGGGTGGGATTCATTATCTCGCTTTTAGGGACCGTTCATAATTTATGGCTAGGGGGGTGATGATGATTTTCATGGAGAAGCAGTACAATGTGAATGACCCCCCCTAATATTTATGTACAAAGTAAGTGACCCTGCCCTGCATGTCATGTACAAAATCAATGACCCCCCCTCGCTTCCCATAATATTTAAGCATAAATGTTTTAATATTTATGTGTACAAAATTGCTGAGCCCCCCTAGTACATGTGTACAAAATTGATGACCCCCCTGCCTCCCAAGAACAAAATGGGTGACAGCCCCTTAAAATCATCATCACCCCCCCTAGCCATAAATTATGAATGGTCCCTTAAATATTCATCGTCAAGTCATGACAAATACTCAAGTAGGAACAACATGCAATTTGTTTAATTATCTTAAGTCCTAGTATACACTCTTCCTTAATTCGTTGTCAGTTGATCTCGCATATGGGACAGGTATTGTCATGTTGATACAAGTATAATCCCATCTCTCTCTGTGATCGTTTTAGTAAACACGATTCAGTTATGGCGGCTAGCTTTGATCATTGCATGTGTATCGGTTGTGAAAACTTTGTGATGGATACCATAACTCAGGTGTTTGAAATGCGCTAGAAAACAACTGCGCTAACAGGTCTTTTGTGAACTTTCTGCGAAAATTGCACCCCGTGAAAATATATACAATTATAGTATTACAAATAAGATATCAATTACCTACAACTTCAAATGTTATTAATATTTCATTCAGATCTTTATTACTGTAATTTCAAACAACACCATTAACCTAGAATTGAAACACTATTACTCTACAAGTTACAACATTGACTCTGTGTCAATGTCAAGCCATGAAAACCCAATTAAGTGGTTTAAACCTTAGCTCCATTCTACAATAGGAATACTTGGTTGATTTTGGAATCATTTTGAAATCTAATCCATGTTATATTTGGGATAACTCTTTGTTAGTAAAGTACAGCCATAAACAGCCAGGTAAATAATTGATTGCGGACCAACCCACAGTAGTCACAGAGCAATCACAAGCAATCAGCCAGTCACCAAGCCTGAATCATCTCAACCAAGCAGACCAGTCCACATACCGGGTAACAACATAGGACACCAGCAACATAAACAACAAGACTGACTGACTGAGTTTAGTTTTACGCCACTTTTAGCAATATTCCAGCAATATCAGGGCGGGTGACACCAGAAATGGGCTTCACACATTGTACCCACGTTGAGAATCGAACCCGGGTCTTCTGCGTGACGAGCCAACGCTTTAACCACTAGGCTACCCCACCGCCCCCTTAACAACAAGAGGCAACTAAATGTTATAGATGGTCAGAACAGACTAACGCTTAGTCCCTGAATATATATAATATTGACAGTAAACAAATAAACCCATTTAAATTGAAAAGGCGACCCAGGGAAATATGAGTGTGAGAACCTGAAGAAATCTAGACTTGCTTAATTTAGGGCTTTAGAATTGCGGGGAGGGCTGGACTTTAGGGAAAATAATGTTGTTCAGGGACTGTGATACAGACTAGGCAGTAGGGAAAGTAATGTGGTGCAGGGTCTGTGCGACGAACTCAGTCAGACTCGGTTTTCAGTGTGTCATTGTATGCTTATTGTGATGCACATGATTTTAATCACTGGATTGTCAAGTCTCAAATGGGTCCAGACCATCATCATAAACAACACTGAATGCCACACAAACAACAGTAGATGGAAACATTTGTTTTCATTTTTTTTTTGTTGGGTGTATTTATATATTTTTTATTCATATATCTATTTAATTTATTATTATTATTTTATAGGTTTTGGGGGTTTGGGGAGGGTGTGAAAGAGGGAAGAGAGAGAGAGAGAAGAAGGAGTAACACAGGGGAGAAGAGATCAAGGGAGCAAGGGAATCTATGGGGATCAATATGGAGATGTACACTAATGAATCATGGGACACAGGTATAAACTGGCAGGTACTCTGGTACCCAACTGAGCCCACGGGACCCAGCTACCCAAACCTGGGCCCACGGGTAGTTACGTGGGAGACCCAGCTACCCAAACCTGGGCCCACGGGTAGTTACGTGGGAGACTCAGCTACCCAAACCTGGGCCCACTGGTAGTTACGTGATTAACTGAATTGATTTATGGACACTTGTTTATTTTACCAAATCACTACATGGTGACAGTATGAATGTGAGAAAGTTTGCATTTTTTTCTTCTCTTATGTTACAGGGCCTAGATTTTCGAAGCTCTCTTAGCGCTAAGATAGTTGTAAGTTAATGTTAATGAATGGCACTTACGACTATCTTAGCGCTAAGAGAGCTTCGAAAATCTAGCCCCAGGCAATCTTCGTCCCCATTAATATATCATGTGGTTACCAAATAGTCAGACAATTTATATTGACTATAACTAGTTTTAAACTAATCTGATTCATTGTTTACTCTGCCCTCTGATGTATTTACAAGTATCATACAACCAGTGTTTCTGCTAGGTTTTTTAACAGCCGGTCACCATGTCTGATGACCTCCTAATTTACCGGTCCTGCACAAAATTTCCGCAATTTACTAGGTTTTAGTTTTGAAGACTGATGACAACTTGGACTTGAACTTGAATAATCATTTTGCCCCTTATTTTTCTTTGTTTCGTCATCCTCAATAGCCGAAACCTTGTGAAAAGTATAATGAATATAGAAGGAAACCTCATCTCACACGAAAATCGTAAACGCGAATTCTATTAATAGAGGATTATTTTAACGTTTTTGTTTTTTTTCGGTAACAGTTTAAGCAGGACAAAAAAAAGGTTTGGATATTTTACCAGACACGGTGACAGATAGGCTCTAAATTTATGGGTCCTGG